GGAGCTGAGCTATAAGAAAATTAAATATTAAGGAAAACCTTAACATCAATTTTGTGTATATTTCTGATAATTCAAATGAGTGAAGTTTTATAAGGTTTTTAAAATTATATTTCAGTGGATATTTCATGTAAGCAATTGAATATACTACAATTATAGACATCCTAGTATTGGGGGAATTAGGAAAGTTTAAAAATATATACATGTAAATTTTATTAAAACTTGGAAGAATGAATAAGGTAGTTAATGAATTCATTCTATAAACATTTTTTTATTGAACTTGTAAATATTAGGTGTTAGGTATTACTATTTATCCCATAATTACTTGTTTCCCTAAACTGAAAAAGAGAGAGAGATTGTGAAAGTGGAATCCTTTTTTTTAAAAAAAGTGATCCAATTCATTTTAAAAAAGAAAAAATACCCCTTTAAAAAAAAAGATTGATTGATTGATTGATTGATTTAGAGAGCAAATACATGCATGAGTGTGAGGGGCAGAGGGGGAGAGGGAGAGAGAATCTCAAGGAGACTCTGCTGAGCACAGAGCCTGACATGTGGCTTAATCTTGTGACCCCTGAGATCATGACCTGAACCAAAACCAAGAGTTGGACACTTAACTGTGCCACCCAGGCTCCCCCGCAAAAAAGAAAAAATACCTTAAAAGACAAGTTATTATAACTGTGAAATGCTATTCATACTTGAAAATGGGAAAATAGCCATTCATTTAAGAATTGTGCAAAGTATGGTAGGGTATATAAAGAAACAAGCCAATGAGTGTCTCTGGTCAGGTTGCTCATAGTTTAGCAGAGTCTGCTTTCCTTTAAGGCAACTCAAACTTCTCAGCATATTAAACAAGACTGTTATCAGATTCATTGTCTAATGTTTTTTTTTCTAATCTGTCAATTTTCAAATAGTTGTATTTTTAAAATCTATGTTTGCCAATTTTTCAGTGCAAATTGATCAGTTTTGGCTTTATACATTTTTTTCTCTTAGTACACTTTTAAAATATTAAACTTGTTTTCAGAAGGTAGCTGCATTATTTGCTTTTTCATGGTATAGTACATTCTCCTATTTGCATAGTTGAATTCTTTTATGACGAGTTTTCCTTATATGCATTGGAGTTTTCATTTGCAAGCTCAGTTTGAGTGAGAGCTCCATGATGTGTGTTTTTCTTTCCACTCTCACTATTTACTACTCCATTCCTGGCAGTTTTATTAATGCCTCCACTGGCTCATTAGTTCAGAACTTGGTCTTTTTTATACTGGAATGTCAACTCTCCCAAGGATATTAGAAACTAATTTCATACCCAGAGTCCCACCATGAGTGAGTGCTTTGAATCCCATCATGTTGGGGGAAGTAAACTTCTAGATGTCTTTATTTATTTTCAAGAAATAGGAACTCCTGCTTTTAACACTGAGTTTCTTTGTATTATTTACTACAATTTTTATTTTGTTTTCAAGTGTGAAATACCTGTTAAATAATTATTTCATCCTTTCTTGTTGGTGTGTGCTCCAGGGCGGGGGCAGGATCTTGCATGAAGTTAAAAGATCATCTTGACAATAGTCATTATGTAACTATGACAACGACTTTTTTTTTTTGAGAGAGAGAGGGAAGAGGGGGAGGGCCAGAGGGAGTGGGAGAGAAACAATCTTCAGCAGGCTCCACACCCAATGCAGAGCCAGATGTAGGGCTCAGTCTCACAATCCTGAGATCATGGCCTGAGCCAAAAGCAAGAGTTGGACACTTAACCAACCAAGCGCCCCATGACTGACAATTTTTAAAAAAGTTATTCTGTGTACCACCTAAAGTCATCCTGAATTACATAGTGGTTACAAACTTACCATCCAGAAATACTGGACTAAACCAAGATGCCCTAAGTTCCCATCTGCTTTGATTTTTATTCATGACAGGACAACAATGAGAGCAGATTAGGAGACGGGAATGAGAAGTCATACATATATAGCATTAACAAATTGTAGAGTTATCCAGAGAGAACTCAAATTGAGAAAGTTTTATTAGGACTTCTGCTTCATGGTGGAAGATTGAACTATAACTTCACCACTGTGGCCAACCATTCTCCTTGAGATCACAGTGAAATGCAAGTACAGAAAAATGTAGAAAGCAATTAACTGAAGATGGTAAAGAGATTTGGAGGTAAATGGGAGATCATAATGGACAGGATTATTTAAACAAATTTGCTTAAACAAATTCATGTAATGCACTGTAGCTGGGAGTGTGTGAGTAGAACTGAGAAAGGTGCAACCTAGAATATAGTAAAAGAACGTTACAAAAGGGTAACTGATGTAATTCCACAAAAATTCAGAGTTCATAAACAATAGGAATTGGATAAATTTAAGTGAATTACTGTCTTCTGCTTCATTAGCAAATAATGTACCCAAAAGGCATCCCTCAACATTTCTCTGTCCTATATGTAATCTCTGTCCCTAAATATGAGGGACTTTCTCTGTCTACTCAGTTCCATATTGTTTTAATATTTTACAAATATGTGTTATCTTTTATGATTTCCAGTAACTATAAAATATATAAATCTGTTGGAATTTAGCATCTAAGTGTAACTTATCCTTTAAACCTATCATCATATATTACCATCATTATAAAATTCTTAAATGTAAGTATGACGAGTATTGAAAGCTGTTAGAAATTTAGTTGTGATCTTCTTGTGCAGTCTGAGAGAAAACTCTTTTGTTCCTCTGTCTTCTCTAATACCCAAGCACTTTAAATGTTAGAGACTCAGAGAAGCCTACATAAGGCATATATCCGTCTAGATATTTAGATGGAAAACAAAGGAGATCATTAAGCTACCAAATCATTCTTGAAAATATATTGCCATTTTATACGAATGACTATTTTATGTGAACTTGACAAATCATTTAGTGATAGAGGTCAAAAAAATGGTTATCTTTGGAAGTTGGGTATTGATTGTGAGGGCCACATGACGGAGACCTTGGAATGCTGGAAATGCTCTATATTTTTACTTTGTGGGTGTATCTGTATGTAAGAATTCATTGAAATGTATACTTATGACTAAAGGAAAAAAAGTGACAAATAAGAGCATTTGAGATGCAGGCTATTGAAGGTACAAGTGAATTACTAAAGTAGTAGCAAACATGTTGTTTAAAGTGAATGGTGGCACTTTCCCCCATTTATTACTTTCTATAACAGAAGATGATTTAATCACACAAGTTACATAGGCTACTCTTGTAGAGGTAGTCACTGTGCACAGTTGTCTTTTTAAACCTTTCCTATGTATACAATAATATTCTTTAAACATACAAATTTTTAGTAGTATCAAACTATATTATTCTGAAACTTAGCCTCCCCCTGTTTAACAGCATATAATAGATATCTTCCAGTATCAGATCACAGATTCACCTGATCCTCTTTAATGATTGTGTGTTCTCTTATAGTCTCTTTATACTGTAATTTATGTAGCTACATCCCTAGACCTTTGAGGTTATCTTACGTTTTTACTAATGGATACAGTGCACTGATGACCTTTTTTCTTCTACATCTATACTTGTGTATTTGTTACAGAATAATTCCAGAAGTAGAAAACCTAGTTAAATTTTGATAGCTACTACAAAATTGCCCTCCATTCCCACCACCTATGAACCATAACTTTATCTACATTGGATGCTATCAGTTTTTAAAATGTTTGCCAATTAAATAGACAAAAATGGAACGTCATTGTTTTAATTTGCTTTTCTCTGGTCACTAATAGAGTTGATCTTCCTTTCTTATGTTAATTATCAATTTATGTTTCTTTTTTTAAATTACTTGTGCGTGCTCTAAAGCAGTTTTCCTTATTTAGTTATCAGAGTTCTTTGTATAGGGTATTAATCTTTATTTCTATTATAAATGATGTAAATATCCTATTCAGTTTCTGGTCTTACAAATTCATTTACGGTAGATTGTACCATATGATGCTATAGGTCTTTTCCGTTGTGACTCCTTCATTCTGTGTTTTGCCTAAGAAGATCATCTGCTTAGGAAGAGCAGACATCTTCTTATGTTTTCTTCTGGAATACTTATAGTTTTGTGTTTTACTTTTAAATCACTAATCCACCACAAATTTATTTTTGTGAGCTAAAGATACAAATATTAATATGCATTTCCCCCCAGATAGCCAGTTGTTCCATAAACTACCCAGCGGTCCATCCTTTCCTCACTAAAGTAGGAAACCAGTGCTAGTGCTCTATGAATGATTGACAGGTCATAAAAGTGTGCTGTTTTTCTTTTTTGTGCGGGGAGGATGTGCGTTCTTAAGCAAAGTTTAAAAATGTAGGGTGGGGCTTATGGAAAGGGTTCGAAGAATGGGGCTGGCTTGGGAGTTACGCTGTTGCCTTGGATAGGATTAAAAGTATAGATGGGGTAGAATAAGAATACACATAGGGCAAACATATGAAGTAAAAGCTATATAAATAGCAATCAAGTGTATTCCTTCAGTAGCTTATTATATTATGCAAAGTGTTACTACAAAGGCCTTTTAGATTTATTTTACATTCCTGTCTGTGGCACAGAAATCACCACTAACCATCCTAGAGAAAAATGGGCTCTTTTTAGTTCATCCTAGAGAAAAATGGGCTCTTTTTAGTTAACATCAGATTCAAATGTATCTCATGTTTAATCTTACAGCTTGTATAGTTAAAGTCATTAATATATGAATGATAATTGTTTTCACTTCTGGAAAAGTTGGGTTGTGTGACACTATACAAACTCTGTAGCCGAAGAAAAAGACTCCTACGTATGTTAAATACCCCATCCAGCAGAAAGGGGTTTCTGGAAAGTTGGGTACACATGTAGAGGGAAGTAATGAGGGCATATTTTTACTGGACTAAATTTGAAGTATGCTGCAAGTAAGGCTGTCAATATAATTTTTAAATTGTTGACCAGTAATAGTCATTATTCTTGAAAAAGATTATTTCATTGTCTTCTGTCTTCTCTTTTGTCCACCTCCATTCTTTCCTTTTTCTTTCATTTTACAGACCATACATCAGTTGGCGGGCTGGGAGACAGTTTTTATGAATACCTACTAAAAGCATGGTTGATGTCAGATAAAACAGACCATGAGGCGAGAAAAATGTATGATGATGCTATTGAGGTAATTCTTGTCAGAACATTTACCTGCTTAACATTCTATGAATATACAGTGTGTTTCATAGTGACCAGTGAACACCTAGGTGCATTTGGTTCTGTGCCCTCACTGTAGAGTTTTGGTATTTTAATCTAAAAGTCTTGTATTGTTTTCCTTTATTGTGGCATTTTAAAGAAAATGCTGAAGAATAAATATATATTTATGTATGAAAATTTATTTTAATTACTTTTAGTTATTATCTACACAGACTAGAAAAACTGACTTCAGAGACATTTTCATAAACATTTCTTCTTTCAACTGACATTGAACCTACACACGGAGAGCCTTATGGATAAATAATACGGGCAAAACACTTATCTAGTATTTTCCACATGCCAGGTACTGTTGTAACCCTTTTTACACATACGAAATCATCTCATCTTTACTACCATTTTATATTTGAGAACCTTATGGCACAAAGAGGTTAAGTAACTTGCTCAAGCTCGTAATAGCTAGTAAGTGATGGCGCCTGGAACTGAACAGTCTGGCTCCAGGTGCTGTGCTTTTAACCACTTTACTGTATCGTTTCATATTTATATAACCTCTTACCACAGTGTTGTGACAGTTTAAAATTGGAACAGGTTTCAATCTTGGAAGCACTTACATGTGATATTTCCAAGCAAAAACTGTGAAATAGAAAGGTGTGTTACCCACTTACTAAGTTATTTGCTTTCTGATCCAGTACAAACCCATAGCCCTTTAGTGATTTTAATCGGTTTTTAAAGTTGTATTGGTGCCTGGGTGGCTCAGTCATTTAAGCGTTTGACTCTTGATTTTGGCTCAGGTCATGATCTCAGGGACATGAGCTTGAGCCCCCTGTTGGGCTCAGCACTGGGTGTGCAGCTTGCTTAAGATTCTCTCTCCCTCTCCCTCTGCCCCTCCCCTCCACCGCTCTCTCTCAAATAAATATAATCTTTTTAAAAAATCAGTTTTTAAAATTAGATATATATTTTTTAAATTTTATTTTTATTGAAGTACAACTGACACATAATGTTGCATTGTACAACATAGTGATCCGACAAGTCTTTACTACTATGCTCACTCCAGGTGTAGCCAGCATCTGTCACAATATAACGCTATTACAGTACCATTGACTATATTGTGTTTATCCCTGTGACTTACTCATTCCATGACTAGAAGCCTGTATCCAACTCCCCTTCGCCCGTTTTGCCCATCCTCCCACCCTCCTCTCTTGTTCTTGGTATTCTTAAGTTTTGTTTTCTCTCCATTTTTCTTCATCAAAATTGTTTGGGATTTTCAAAGAAACACAATAGGCTTTGTTGAGTTTGTATGATTTTCTATATAGCAATACCATTCTGACGGTAGTTGATGATTGGTATTCAGAGTTATAGTTACTGTTGTGTTTTTAAATTAAAGCAAGGATCTTATTATCCTTTTTATAGCCTTACTTTTGGAGGAACTAACTCCCTACAGTCATTTACAGAATGCACAAGTGTTAAACTGATATGTGGCATATAGTGCTTAGTTCATTGTAGGCATTCAATAAATGTTTCTTGAGTAGGCATCTGTTGCGTGCCTTATATGTGGAAAACATGCCAGATGCCATGAGGCCCACAAAGATGAAAACCATTGCCCTTGCATTCGAAAAACTAATCTTTTCTTTTTTTTCTTTTTTTGGTAAAGATTTTATTTATTTATTTGACAGAGACAGCAAGAGAGGGAACACAAGCAGGGGGAGTGGGAGAGGGAGAAGCAGGCTTCCCGCTGAGCAAGGAGCCCGACATGGGGCTTGATCCCAGGACCCTGGGATCATGACCCAAGCCAAAGCCTGAATCCCAACGCCTGAGCCACCCAGGTGCCCCTAAAACTAATCTTTTCATTTGTGCTTCGGCATACTGTGGTTAAAACAACAATCGAAACATATAAATCAGTGGTAGTCCCTTATTTTGCCTATCACCCACTCCTTATTCCCCTGACAGCCCAAATACAAGTATCTACCATTTATTTACAAAATGACTTCTTAAACATTTATTGACTGGGGGCACCTGGGTAGCTCAGTCGTTAAACGTCTGCCTTCAGCTCAGGTCATGATCCCGGGGTCCTGGGATCGAGCCCCGCATCAGGCTCCCTGCTCCGCGGGGGGCCTGCTTCTCCCTCTCCCACTCCCCCTGCTTGTGTTCCCTTTCTCTCTGTCTCTCTCTCTAATAAATAAATAAATAAAATCTTTAAAAAAAACACAACATTTATTGACTTCATGCTACACTTATAGGCCTTAGGGAGTATAAGGTGACAAATGAGGCATAGTCCTTATAATTCTGTAAAACAGATGTTATCATTATAAGAAATACACAATAAATTTTTCCAAAACTGATTGTTACCGAACTTGTCAGAGAACAACACCCAAAAATGTGGGTTAGTTCTTATTCTTCTTTATTGTCAGAAAAGTATAAGTCTCTAATCATATATAATCCTTTTCACCAAAGAGAACTGAATTAATGCAATTTCTTATGCTTTTCCATAGAATTATCTCGAAAGGCAGAGAATTAATTTATAAGCAAAGTCTGAGAACATAGTCCAAAGGAACAAAGCTCTTAAAAATCTCATTTTTAAAGTTAAATGTACTCGTTGGACTCTACTTAGTGTTACATTCAAGTTTAATATAAAATATTTCTCTTGCCATCCCCACATCTTTTGGGTAAAACTGGCATTCCAGGAAGATGACTGTGTTTATCACATGGCCTCTCATAGCCGTGGCACAGCACCCGAAACAGATGCCTAAGTTTGCAAAGTATGGGGCTGAGGTGTTAAGTTTGAACTTCTAACTAGTTTTTTGTTTTTTTTTTTAAGATTTTTATTTATTTATTTGACAGAGAGACACAGTGAGAGAGGGAACACAAGCAGGGGGAGTGGGAGAGGGAGAAGCAGGCTTCCCGCCGAGCAGGGAGCCCGATGTGG